ATATATATGTTCCTGAAGTGAATCAAACTGTGATTGAGTTGCATTGCCGAAATGTGGGTACGCGCTCAACATAAACAAAGCATTTTTTTTGGCATTCTATGTTCTAAAACAGAGGTTCACAAACTGGRGTCCCAGGACCCCTAGGGGTCCGCGAGCTGTATCTTGGGGGGGTCCTCAAAAAATTTCAATAAATTGTTAATTGGGTTTTTATTTTAAAAATATGCATATGAGTAACAATGCACTAGTAAAACAAACCTACTAAAACAAACAGAAAATACTATTCTCATGGAATTCAGGGGTTAAAGTACCTGTGACGTCAAATTTTTGTAATACATACAAATGCTTTTTCAGAAAGAGGACATTGATAAAATATTGCAAACAAAATTTCATGTCGCTGAGATGAACAGTTGTCGAGATATTTGCCTGTGAAGTAACAGGAAGTGATGTCAAAGGGGAATGTCTGTATGTGAACAGAGCTTTTCTAACAGCTAACACAGACTGTAGAGAATAATCTGATGTTTCTTTAGATTATTTTGAGTCACTATCAGAGAAATGAAGAAGAGTCAGAGTTCAAAAAATATTGTTTCAACAAACAAAGACCAGACGGTTCCTCTTTGATGTCACTTCCTGTTTCACTTTGGCTGAGCCAAGTTCAAAAGAAAATATGCAGTTATGGGACGAAATGGGTTAAAACGTGTGTATTRTTCCAACTTTCTTAAATATAAAGATATTTTCTTTGACTWTTTTGTATTTAAATAATCTGCATGTCACAGACACTTTAAAATGACAGTAAACTAAAAAGATTGAGAACCCCTGTTCTAAAAGATAAAAAAGACTCATAAAAGTAGGTTTACAATATCACACAAACTCAACGTCTCATACTATATTTGATTTATTTTTCCAACATTTTCTTCTCAGAATCCTGCAACAACTGCAAGTTTTAAAAATACTCATTGGAATGTACGGAAAAAAAAACAAATAGATGTTCCTGAAATGAATCAAACCATGATAAAGTTGCGTTGCCAAAATGTGGGTAGGCGCTCAACATAAACAAAACATTTTTATTTGCAGACTTTTCAAAACAAATTGGAAGAGAAATGTCTATCAGTAAAGGMAAATAGTCATACTTTTCCATTTCAAACAGCTCTTTCTAGTTGTTGACCTATTTTCAGCCACTTCTGCTGTTTGTTTATTTATTTATTTATTATTATTTTTCTTATTTTATGACCGATCTCAGTCTCTTTGCTAAGAATAGCTTTAAGTAAATWAAAAGTGACTTATTTAGGCAGTTCAAAACAGCTGTGTGGATTTATACCCACTTTCAAACAGCTTGTTGAAATCATCTTGTAAATTTTATTTAAAACTTGTCTGAAGTGATGTTTGTGTTGTAAAAGMTTTGTTGTGGTTTCCAGATGGAACAAAGTGAAGTTACTGACAGATCCTCACTGGAAGGAGGAGGGGCTGCAGGCTTCATGGACCCTGAGGCCCRGGGGTCCGTCTCACATTCTTGACGCTGGAGTCTGGGTGAGCGGGTGAGGATGGTGACCAGGTTCTCCAGTTGGGCTGTCTCCCGGGGGACCAGGAGCACGCAGTCCTCAGGAGGAAATGAAAACTCAGAGTTCAACACGCAGAGGTGCAGATTTACACCAGAACACAATGTTCTTTGGTTTTATGGCCTTTTAAACTCGTTTTATGAGCTCAAACATTTGATTTAAACCTCAGTGTTTGATTCTGTAACATTTATGAATCTCAAACCTTTAAATTAGGAAATAAAAGAAAATCCAAAACGAAGGTTTATGTCTGACTTTTAAATATTTAGTCATTTTTACCATTCAACCCCAAGTTTTTCACCTGAAATCTTAAAATTTAAACCCAACACCATAAATGACTTTCAAAATATTAAAATAAAAACAAATCTGTGCAGATTTTACTGAAATAGTGAGAAGATAGATGTTTGCCAGAAAGACTGGTGCTCAGGGAGTAAAAAGAAAAAGTCATGATGGACGTTTCAGTTATGATCTCAGATAAAGTTCAGGTTAAAGTCTGGTTTGTTGTGTTCTACTTTCATAATGACTGATTTTATGTTGTTTTATTTTCCCCAAGAATTCAGTAAAATGCTCTTCAAATGGCTGGAAAATCCAGAGTTCTGAGTAGATCTGTTTTAATTTTCCAGGGGGAGTATACTAAAGTTAGTTAGTTAGTTAGTTAGTTAGTAAGTAAGTAAGTAAGTAAGTAGATAGGTAGGTAGGTAGGTCAGTCGGTAAGTAGGTAGGTAGGTCGGTAGGTAGGTCGGTAGGTAGGTAGGTAGGTAGGTAGGTAGGTAGGTAGGTAGGTAGGTAGGTAGGTAGGTAGGTCAGTCGGTAAGCAGGTAGGTAGGTCGGTAGGTCGGTAGGTAGGTAGGTCGGTAGGTCGGTAAGTAAGTAAGTAGGTAGGTAGGTAGGTAGGTCGGTAGGTCGGTAAGTAAGTAAGTAAGTAGGTAGGTAGGTAGGTAGGTAGGTAGGTAGGTCGGTCGGTAAGTAGGTAGGTAGGTAGGTAGGTAGGTCGGTAGGTCGGTAAGTAAGTAAGTAGGTAGGTAGGTAGGTAGGTAGGTAGGTAGGTGGGTCGTAAGTAAGTAAGTAAGTAAGTAGGTAGGTAGGTAGGTCGGTCGGTAAGTAGGTAGGTCGGTAAGTAAGTAGGTAGTTAGGTAGGTAGGTAGGTAGGTAGGTCGGTCGGTAGGTCAGCAAGTAAGTAAGTAAGTAGGTAGGTAGGTCGGTCGGTCGTTCGGTCGGCTGGTCGGTCGGTAGGTAGGTAAAGTTTTATTTATAAAGCACCTTTCACAGAAATATTTTCACAAGGTGCTGTACAATCATTTGCAATGTAAAAATGGTGGAAAGATAAAATGAAACAGAAATAAAACATAATTAAACATGAGCAACGTAATGAAACATCAAATCAAGATTAAAATATAAAATTGTAACTCAGACACGCGGTCAATGCTGAGCAAAATATACAAAGATACACAAAACCTAGAGAATGGGGGAGAGAAAACTATATAAAACAGATAGTTGGCGAGCATTCACTATGGAGGTAGGCTGGTATTTATGGTGAAATGTTTGCTAAACACTTGAGTAAAAAAGTGGGTTTTTAGGTGTTTCTTGAAAGAGACAATGTTATCAGGGAGCGCAGATTAAAAGGGAGTTCATTCCAGAGCCTGGGGGCCACAGAAGAGAAGGACCGGTCACCACTGGTCTTAAAGCGAGTGAGGGGAACCATAAGGAGATTTTTGCTAAGGAGAATAGGGAGAATTTTATTATAATATACCCCTGGACCCCCCTAGAACTGCTTCAGTCCACACCTGCTTGTTACCAAGAACAGGCGTTCCTCAGAAAGATCTTGGCAAGTTATGAGGTAGACTTCTGGTTTTCAGTTTCAAATATTAGCGTTTTTATTTCGACAACCTAGTTTTTAAAAATAAAAATATTAAAGTCAAAACTTTTGGCTTTGGTAGGTAAATTGGCAGTGAAATTTAGAAAACCAATCAAGGAGCACCAAGTGAAACCTGAACAGATATGAAGCCGTGAGAACTTTTTCACAGTTTTATTCAGGAGAAAAATGGTTTTAGCTCTCAGAGTCAGCAGAAACATTTTATTATGGAGGGGAAAAACTCTCAGCCTGCGAGGTTTCCTCCTCATTCCAGCAGATATCTTCTCTAATATTTTCTAAAATCAGCGCAAACATACGTGTCTTTGTCACAGAAGAAACACAGATGGGGAAAAAAACAATAGAAAACAGTAAAAAAATGAGAACAAAACCCAAAGAGAGGAAAAACGGAGCAGTTTTGTTTTGTAGAAAGCAAGCAGAGGGAGCGTTTATTCAGAAACTTTATTTTCCACTTTACAGTTTGATTCTCTGGAAGAAAAAAAAGCTTCAAACTGAACTCGAATTTAAAATAAAAAAAAGCCCTGAACACATCAAAACATAGACATAATGTCAAACATGTAAATTTACATCAGAGGTTCTTTAGTTTTTGTTTACAAGGTGTTTCATTAAAAAAAAAAAACTCAAATGTTTTCTCAACAGGTTAGTACAGACTGTGCACGTTTCTCTTTTGGAAATTTTTTTTAGTGGTATAGGTAGGAAGGATCAATATTTAAAAACAAAATGAAAAAAGAGTTAGCAGTTAGCACCTTAGCTATCTTTTTTTTTTAAACTTGTGGAGGGTCAGCACCTGGTCTGGTTAGTAGAACTACGGTTTTTCTGCCGTTGGGCTGCAGCTCGTTAGAGGAACTTTAGATGACGAGGTCTTTGTCCACGTCCTCTGCAAACACAAAACCACAAAACATTCATCAGCGCAGGTCGAGGCCTTGTTAAAGGGATCCACAATAAGTTGTAACATTAATTCAATTTAAATTCAGTTTATTTACTGTATATATTAGACTTTACTTAATAAACATATATTTTACCTGTAAAATAAAGACTGTAAAAATACTGTAGGATGTTAGTTTTGTACATTTTTAAAAATATATTTTAACACGGACGGAGCCATTTTGTTTACATGCAAAGCATTCTGGGTAAATGATGACGTGGATAGGTCCTCGGTGCGAGGCTGCTAGCGAGCTATATCCACCCTGAAGGCACAGTTGATCATTATACTCTCTTACAAAAGTTGATTTCTTTTCAACGTTCATCATCTGCAA